ATCAAAATACAGATAATACTTGGCATCGGTTCATCCGGAGCGAAACATTTTATTTTATTTTAGGCCACTGAATAGCAGTAGCAGCTAAGGGGGTGTACACAACTCCTCTAGAGCAGTCTGTTCAAAATGTTTAGCGTACTTCCCGACATGCAGTAAACTTGAAATTTTCCGTGTGGGTACTTTCCAGACTGTACACCGTGCAACAATTATAAAAATACAATTTAGTTGTTTTTTTAGGGGGGGGGAGGGAGATCAATAATGCATTTTTTATGCACGTCAAGTGAGCTGTGACGTCACAGCTGTCACGTGACCCGCGCACGTGGAAGCGTAACGCGTTGTAGTGTAGTGGTTAGCGCGCTGTCTGTGTGTTTGTGTCTGTGTGTGTGTCTGTGTGTATATGTGCCTGTGTGTGTGTATGTCTGTGTGTGTGTCTGTGTGTGTGTCTGTGTGTATGTCTGTGTGTGTGTCTGTGTGTGTGTCTGTGTCGTGTGTCTGTGTGTCTGTGTGTGTCTGTGTGTGTCTGTATGTGTCTGTGTCTGTATGTGTCTGTGTGTGTCTGTGGAAGTGTAACACGTTCTAGTGTATGTGTAGCGCTACACTGCGCTACGAACCCGGCGACCCGAGTTCGATTCCCGCTCACGGCCACCACCGGTATTGATTTTTTTCAGCCGGTCCCGTGCCACCCCTAGGTCGACTCAGCCTCAAAACTACTAACGGCTGTGGTGTGTGGTGAACATCGCCACTGGGGAGACAAAGGCGGCCGGGCGTGGTGGATCCAAGCCCCCGGGCGAAGCCGGGTAGTCAACCTAGTTCATATATACGAGGTGAAATATGGCTTAGATATGGCTTAGATTACCACAAAAGCAATACAAATACACTTTGAAGTTTTATGAAACCAATAAAAATAAAACTTTCAAGTTTTTATTTTTATTGGTTTTATGAAGTAGTCTAAGTCGCACATTACCCCGTATATAATGTTTAACATCCGTACACCAATTCTACCACGATGCTGTACGTGAAATTTAGACACCATTAGGCCTCATAATGTCAACCATTAAGTCGATTGTTATTGGTCTTACGAGTTAACCCAAGTCGCACGTTACCTCATATATGATGTCACCGAAATACCAATTCTACAACCGATTGATGCACGTAATTGATACAGACACCATTCGACGTTACATCGGCAAACTTTCAACGTGTTCTAAATCGAAATTTAATTCGATTTGTGAGGTAATATTAGTCATATTTTGCCTCATATATAAAGTATAACATCCGTTTGGCCAACGACCACTCAACCACCGATGCTGTACGTGAGAGAGAGAGAGAGACACACAATTCGTCAATAATTTGTGTTAAAGTGCATTATTATTATTCGTTTTATGAGGTAATCTAAGTCGTCAATTATCTTCATTCGAAGCATTTTCGATAAAGTCATCACGTGGGTAGGAAATAAAATTATAGATCGCGACACAGAAATCGTCATCAGGTGGAACAACCACAGCAATCGTCATCAGGTGGAACAACCACAGCAATCGTCAGCACTTGCCCCTACAGCCCTGCTAGAGGCTATCTGGAGGAGCTTTGTCTG